ACGAGCCCCGCCTAAGGGAGATTTCTATAAAGTTCCATACAAAGGGGGACAGTAGAGTAGCCGACTGTTAATCCGCCAAAAAAATTCGTCGGCGTGTATATACTACATAACATATATGTACATATATGTGGAAAATTATTTGCGCGCGATTTCATCGTGGCGAGAGAGAGAGAGAGAGAGAGAGACTAGAGAGTGAGTCAGGAGTTAACTTTGTTGTTAGATTAAATAGATTAGCATTATTGTGACGCGCGTCATGGTAAGCACCGCGGAACAGGATACGTCGTTCCACGTGTACGCGCAAAACGCACGTGCCTGCATCTGGAATCACACAACGCGCAGTCGATGCGTACGAGGAAGTGCGACGTAATTGGCAAAACAAATTTTTCATATCGTGATACAAAATAATAACGATACATAGGGCAGATATGTATCTTTTGCCTACATCAATTGAGAATTTAATTGACAGAAATTGTAGAATAGAGAATTTCCATCGCATTGAAGTAAAAATATTTTAATTTTAACTCTAAATATATATATATATATAAATATAAATTATAATATAAAAGAATGACTGCATTGACATTGTTTCATATAAAGCGTATGTGTATATATCTTATTTCTTCCTCTTTATTTTATTAAAAGTTATAATAAAATAATAGAGAAATATAAATTTGATATATATATATACAATAGTTACTATTTGAGAAATTTGTAATAAAGTACGTGCAACTTACACGATTTAAATCTGATATTCCACTTTGTTATCCAAAGCTGTTCTTAAGGAATAGAACTCAGGGACTTTAATGTTCTCTATGCGTGTACAATAGTCTCATGTGAATTCGCGAATTGGTTTGATGATTCTCCCAGAGAATTTATCGTATTTCTACGTGATACAATGCACAGCGTTGCATTGTGTGTATTCACATGCCAATATATTGTTCGGGCAAAGCGTAAAATGCACGCAGGCAACTGTACGAGAAATGAAAGTGTAATGCCGGGACGGAATGCTTCCGAAGAATTAAAATCGACATTGATACAGGAGAATGCACAAGGCGCATACGTTATCAATGCAAAATGCAGCGTAGAATCTTAGAATAACTTAAACATCAAAAGTTACGTTAGCAGTAGTATAATATGAGCCATTTAATAATATAATCATTAAAATCATCCAATAAAAATAATTTAACAACTATAAATAAAATTCACTTTCAATAATTTAAAATAAGCATCATCCTACATTATGATTAAAATTCATTTTTCTTGCGCATCAAATAATGAGATTAAAAAGAATTCTAAAATATATACGTTTTTAAAAGAGAGATCTATAGTATTTTGTATATCAAATCTTAAACGTTGATAAAGATATATTAAAATGATTATACAATAATCTTTAAATGGAATAATACTAAAGCATCGTAAGACTATCAAAATGTATAGAATTTAGAATAGAATCTAAATAATAATTATTTTGAGAGAAAAAGAAGATTTTTATATACACAGCACAACATATACAAAAAATATTCTAATATTTACTTCATTTTTTCGATAGATTGCTGGCTTGCATTCCAAATCTGTCATTAATTTGTGGAAAGCAAGATGATTAGAAATAATGTCTAATTATTAATGCCTTAAGGTAGATTTTAGTCTTAACGATCGAAAGAAAATATTTTCTAAAATGTTTTCTTTAAATTCTATTTTAATAAATATCGATTTAATATTGATTCAAGTGTGCTGTCCGGATGCTGATAGAAGGCGAAAGGGGGCGAAAAAACCGAAAATAGATAACGAAACCGTGGAAGAATCAATCGCGTGGACTGCAAACAAACCGTCGTGTGTGTTGCGATCTCCTGACATAACTAACCGAGAATCGCGTAATATTGACGAAGGACGCGAAAAAGGCTGTCCGATCTTTTCCTTTTCTCTTTTGTCTATCTACCTTCGTCGTTGTTTCTTCTTAGTATGTCTTACTTCTCTCGTCGTTCTTTTCTTCTTTCCACTTTATGGACTACATAAGTAAGACTGTCGATGTTATCTACCTAGATAATCTTTCGGGTCCCTCTCGATGGACGCGCAAAATCGCAAACACGGAGACGAACTCCGAGACTTCGAACAAATCATGCCTCTCACCTTAATTGTATATTATACGTTTTCGTACTACACATACACACGGACACAATACCCAACACACATCTTTAACGCGGAAGACACATACACACGGCGTTGTATTTAGAATTCGTGCTTAGAATTCGGTTCTTAGATAACATTAAATTAATAAACGTAGACTATATTGCTCTTCAATTACCAAGTACCTAAAAAAAAAAGAGTCTTGTTGAGATACGACGATCCATATCAACGTGGCTCGTGTCGATGTGTATCAATAAGAGAAGTCGATGTTCATTTTCTCTCGATACATATTCGCATCCGCGCTCGCCGTGTTCGACGAAGCGTAATCGAGCATGGCAAGCGCGAGCAATCATTCGCGCCCTTGTATTATAATTCTTATAGTAATTTTATTATTATTATTATATCCGAAATGTATATATATATATATATAAAGCTAATATATTTTGTTAGAAGAAAAGCCGATAGAATGCTCGCGCGCGCGAGTATGTGCGAGAGAAACCGCCGGAGAACGATCGAGCGAATTATATGCGTGCATACACGCGCGCGAGTGAGCACGTATGTCAATATCTGTATGAGTACCTGTGTGAATATAACATATGTATGGCTGTATAATTCCGCGTGTACGAACGGGTCGATAGGAACGAGACAAACAACAGCACAACATATACAACAAAAATATTCTAATATTTACTTCATTTTTTCGATAGATTGCTGGCTTGCATTCCAAATCTGTCATTAATTTGTGGAAAGCAAGATGATTAGAAATAATGTCTAATTATTAATGCCTTAAGGTAGATTTTAGTCTTAACGATCGAAAGAAAATATTTTCTAAAATGTTTTCTTTAAATTCTATTTTAATAAATATCGATTTAATATTGATTCATAAAATATCAATTCATAAATATCAATTGATAATTAAAGAGTATATCCAATAGATCCTTTCCAAAATTTTTTGCGCTTGAGAAAATACTGATTTGTTTAAAAAGATTCCAATGTTGGTATTAAATATTTAATTTAAATGAAAATGTTAGAATATGTTTTTTAAATTTGTAACAATACCGAGACACACACATGCACACAGAGACGGATAACTGACTAACGCGATTGTAAAAAATGTGTAATATTACTTTGTAATATACTTGTTATAGATTGCATTAGAATTCGTAAGTAATATTTAAGAATTAATTTTTTTTTGTCTGGTAAAAAAGATTCTAAATGTATATTTATATATCTAGGCAAAATTCTAATCCACTAGATTTTTGTGATAAACTAATTATAAGAGATTTTGCTGTTTCAATACTACATATACATATTTCAACAAGAGATACTAACAGGACCGTTTAGCACTTTATTATCTTGTGATTTTCCTGTTATAATTAAGATAGAGTAGTAAATAATAAATAATAATATTTAAAATGTAAAGCATTATATCTTTAAAATTTCAAAGTATATATATGACATATCGCATCTTGTGCTATCGTACACTTATGAAAATTCCTTTTTATTAAACGTAACATTAAAAACAAATTAAACAATTCTTGTAATTCGTTTTTTTGACATTTGGCGGCATTCTCGCGGCAACGTCAGCGATTTAGCTTCGTGTGTTGTCGCATTAAATTTCTGACATAATATGCCAAGTTTTGACGCCGAAATGTCTGCGTACACGTGTCGTTGATGATTCTAGTTTTAGATACAAGCTGTGCTAACGTTCGTACACAGTACGTCCACTTTTCGAACGTTCTTTCGAACTGAATAGCAACTTCTAGAAATAAGCAGATTCACCGAGAAGAACAATCGTGCAAGCATTTCAATTTTGCTAACCACAATTGATCAATAAAATTCTTCCCAATAAAATTTATTAATCAGGAAATATTGAATATTGAATTTTTGAACGACGAATTATCCAAGATATTCATTTTTTATCTAATAGATAAAATTTCGATTTAACTTAAATTTTGTTTATCGAATAATACTCTATCGTCCTCTTAAATAATCACATCTATCTAATTTTATTGATTTAAATTTGCATATATATCTTATTTCAATCTTAATATCAAAGTTAATCTAATTATCAAGCTTTGCGTCGATTTTATTTTACTAAATCATTTATATTTCGCCTGTGAAACATATAAATTACATATTTTGATTTTAAATAATTAATTGATCGAATTCATATGTATGGCTGTATAATTCCGCGTGTACGAACGGGTCGATAGGAACGAGACAAACAAATCAAACGAATTGTTGTAATTGCATATTTTATTAGTGGCAAGAGAGAGAGAGAGAAAGAGAGAGAGAGAGAGAGGCCGAATCATACCTGATTGTTCTATTATAAGTTTACCGTCATATGAAACAGAACTTCATCTTCATTCATATGTAAATCCGATGCCTACGACACAGTGACAGCAGCAGCAGCCGGCATATACGTGCATTCATCACGATTGCATGTATCATATGTGGATCCGCGCGCGAGCGATTTAATTATGCGAAGGCGCGCGATTACGGCGTGTAGCGGGTGAATGTGGACGTATGGCACGGTGTGCCTTGATGTATGACTGACGTATGATATTAGGGTACGAGATTACCTGTCACAGATCACGGTCATCTTGTCTATGCACAAATATATTTTGATATGAAACGTACGCGCGATGCCTGGTCTCTGTTTCCTTCTTCGCCTCCGTATCATCTCACTCGCTCCGTCCATCTCTCCCTGCGTTTCGGTCGTTTAATCATTAATTTAATCTTTTGTGATGTGCTCTGAAGTTTCCGATGCATAAAACTATTTTTCTTCAGAGAGATAACGTTATTAAGTATATGTAATACTCTAGATTTTAAACAAAGTATATGTGAGAAATTTTTTTTACACTATTGTCAATGCGTCGTGTGCTATATTGCATGTCACGCATTAAAAAGATATATATGCGTACATCTATTTATCGCATCACGTAAATATAAACATCAATTTTTAATTATTCTTACTTGTACGTTACTTAGCATGCATGTTTTGGTTTTTAGACTTTTGCAGAATACGTCCAAGTATTCTGGTTTATTTTTTCAGGAACGTAAGGCTGATGTAATATACATATTTCGCTTTTACTTTAATAATTCTCTATAAATATATTTTTTAAATCATTGCCAATGTGTATTTTCATACTTTCTGAGATTCAGTAAAGAAAACAATATTAAAAAACTACGCAATATTCTCTCTCTCTTCAAAAAAGAAAAAGACTATCATAAACTAATTAAAAAAATATATAAAAAATTATTATTATAAAATGGAGAATTTATTTTGTTTGAAAAGATAAAATTCAAGCAAAAGAATCATAATATAGAATACAGAGAATCGAAGTTTAGCTCGTTATCGCATTGAGGCTTGATCTTAACGGCGTCACGTGCGCGGTCAAGGCGGGAACGAGCCCCGCCTAAGGGAGATTTCTATAAAGTTCCATACAAAGGGGGACAGTAGAGTAGCCGACTGTTAATCCGCCAAAAAAATTCGTCGGCGTGTATATACTACATAACATATATGTACATATATGTGGAAAATTATTTGCGCGCGATTTCATCGTGGCGAGAGAGAGAGAGAGAGAGAGAGACTAGAGAGTGAGTCAGGAGTTAACTTTGTTGTTAGATTAAATAGATTAGCATTATTGTGACGCGCGTCATGGTAAGCACCGCGGAACTTGTAATTCGTTTTTTTGACATTTGGCGGCATTCTCGCGGCAACGTCAGCGATTTAGCTTCGTGTGTTGTCGCATTAAATTTCTGACATAATATGCCAAGTTTTGACGCCGAAATGTCTGCGTACACGTGTCGTTGATGATTCTAGTTTTAGATACAAGCTGTGCTAACGTTCGTACACAGTACGTCCACTTTTCGAACGTTCTTTCGAACTGAATAGCAACTTCTAGAAATAAGCAGATTCACCGAGAAGAACAATCGTGCAAGCATTTCAATTTTGCTAACCACAATTGATCAATAAAATTCTTCCCAATAAAATTTATTAATCAGGAAATATTGAATATTGAATTTTTGAACGACGAATTATCCAAGATATTCATTTTTTATCTAATAGATAAAATTTCGATTTAACTTAAATTTTGTTTATCGAATAATACTCTATCGTCCTCTTAAATAATCACATCTATCTAATTTTATTGATTTAAATTTGCATATATATCTTATTTCAATCTTAATATCAAAGTTAATCTAATTATCAAGCTTTGCGTCGATTTTATTTTACTAAATCATTGCCTGTGAGCCTGTGAAACATATAAATTACATATTTTGATTTTAAATAATTAATTGATCGAATTGTGCGTAATGAAACACATTCGCACGTCTCTCTCTCTCTCTCTCTCTCGTTCTGATTTCTCGAATATTATATATAATTCTTTTATTTTTACCAAACTTTCTTTCCTAGACGAGATTAGGACTAGCTTGTGTGATACACAATATCTATCACTGGTATTTATCAGCGACTTATCAGTATCATTGGCTTCGTTTAATTCTTCATATTCACACATCTACGATTTATCCACATTCTCTGAATCAATCACTATAATATTTATTTACCATCGTTTTTGTTTCTTCTTAATTTTTCATAATTACTTTTAAAATATAATTGTCAACATAAATCATACTTCTATCTGCTCGCTTTTATTATCAGGATATTTTTGTTTCGATATACACATATTTATATGATAAATATAATTGTAATATAATATGATTAATTGAAATATGTCTGTATTAATCTCAATTGCATTTATCGATATATCTTATTCATATCCGTATAAAAACTCATCACGCAACGGAACGCGCATTAGCGGTAATTTAATACAGAAAGTTCTAGTCACATTGAATGCTACCTGCACTTCTATTATCAATTGGCTCTTTGTTCTAGCTTCAGCGATCGTGGCATTGCGCCAGTTCGAATTATGAGAGATACAGCAGTCTCTAATTCGTGTTAACATTATCATTTGCTTCTCTCTGTAGCCATTAAGTACCAGTATCTTTTCAGTTTATCTCTTACAGATATTATATTACGAAGGAAAAATAGTCTGCAAAATTCTGTTTATCCGCATATTGGGAATAAAGATATAAAATAACTGCAATTAAAACTTATGATATTTTTATTTTTTTCTTGACCACAAATTGTAAAATAATTTCCAAGATCTCATATAAATGTACTTAAGATGACTGCGGGCCGCTTAAAATTATTACAAAAAAAGCAAAGAGAGAATATATTTATATTTGCATGTGCTAATCGCTGTTTCATCAATATTGTCGAAAGATATTTCTAAAAAAAAGGTGGAAAAGCCTGATAAAGGCGCGCCATCAGCAACACGATACTTTGCTTTCCCGGCCGTGTGTTTATAGTTACCTGCGTTCCTACCCGTTCGCGACCGCCTGGTCTCTATTCTGGCTGCGATGGTATATGGGTTAGGGCCAACTTTGCCAAGACCGCCCCGCACCCACGCACGTTCGAGCCCGATTCTCTTTTCGCGCATATACGACGAACAAGCCTCATGCAAGCGAGCAAGCGAAACCGCTCGGCTCTCTCGCAGACTTGTATTCCGCGAGTTGCAATGCAATGTTACGTGAAACAAAGTTGCACTTGCTCGCGCATCTCTGGATCTAGTAAAACTTCGACATGATTGCTAATGCAACGGATGACATTGAGCCGACCGTTGGTTGGTGCTCTCGCGTCCCGAGCCAGATTTGCAAGATGTGCAGCGGAAGCGGTCTCCGAATTAGTCACATCGCGTCACCTCGCAGCATCTTAGTTAGCTTCCCGTCTACGTTTATGACAGCATCTTATTAATCTTAGCTATTATGGCCGGGAATGACGAATTTATTTATTATCAATTATTACAATGTCATACGCGTATAGAATAATTCATAACTTTAATATTAAAAGATTGTAAAATTGAAAAAATGAAAAAAAGGAAAAATTTTAACACTGAGGAAAATTGATCAAATTGCTATTGAAGGGAAATTGGTACTATAAATAGATCAAAGAAGTTGTAGATAGAAAAAATGTGAGAGGTCTCAGGTATCCTATATTAGGATCTTCAGTTTACGTAAAAATGACAAAGAACCAAGATCAGATGAATATCATGAAGTGTTAAACTTCGAAACGATCTATTTTGTTTCGCAAGATGTACATAATCGTAACTCGGGGTACAGTAAAAATGCTTATAGATCTTTCTAGCGCCTTCAATCTATTGTTACTGTGAATATATTCACAGATCAGAATCGAGTTACAGACAAAGCACCCCAACTTTTAAAATAAAATAACTTTCATTTTTAGAAGTTATTGTATGAATTATGAAAGTATCACGATAGAAATGAAAAAATAAATAATAATAAAGAGATAAAGAAAATAATATTGTAATGAGATGTTGACAATATATATCGAAAAGCACAAAAGAAAAAAAAAATTGAAACTGTTAGTCATTTTTTAGGCTTTAATTAGTTTTTTTAAAATTAAAGTTTGCATATATGTAAAATTTATTTTGCAGAATTTCATGAGCTGGATGGAAACGCATCTAATCTGGAGTTAAAAGGGGTCTGCCGTCGATCGGCATCGCGAGACTCAACGCCATGAGCACGATGTGGGTGTGACCTGGTTTGCGAGAGTTTCACTTTCCTGTAACATCGTTGCACGGAGGAGGTAAGGAGGATTCGACCCCAGAATTACGTCATGCATTGTTATGCCGGCCGTAACGGCTCGTAGTCGTACGTGCGGAACTCTGTGAGAATGAAAATTAACGAAAGAGACGAGAGAGAAAGAGAGATTCGGATCCCGCGCGAATCGATCGTCGTTGATGGACTCTGGCGATCTCTTGTACATTTTATTGTTGCCGTACATTCCGATCAGTGTCGTTCGAACAACGATCGTGCCCTGAAATATTCAGTCTTGGAAAATCTAAAGAATTCGACATCTGGATATATAAAAATAAATTTTCAATCAATCGAAAAAATGTCATCATAATTGAACTTTAATAATTCTTTGATATAGTAAATCCGGAATTTTTATTTTATAATCAAATTACAAAAAAAAAATTATTATNNTATATATACATTTATATGCTTGTTATAGCATATTTATTCAAGAACATAACATGAATTTTTTGTCGAGTTTCAGAAAAAAATTTTCTGTGCGGATGTTTTTCTACAATAATTTAATAATCTCATTAATGGCGTGCGAACGTGATAAGACATCGCGTCGAACTTAGAACGTATAACGCGTGTGCTGCGACGTGAGTGTCTGCGACTGTGCGTACACGTATAATCTTCATGATCTTTGAGTGTGCGAGTACATAAAAGAGCGCTCTAGCGTGCGACCTATATTCCACGCCTGCATCGCTATATTAGACGCGTACGACGCATCAGGGACGCGCCTGAAAGCACCTCTCTCTCTCTCTCTCTCTCTCTTTCTCTGTTTCACCTGCCAATCAAATTCAAATTCGAAAAGCAACAAATAAGTGTATTCATAGCTTATTTGTATATTTAAACAGAAATTAGAAAAAAAAACAATTAAGTAAAAATAAATATGGATGATAATCCATATATTATATAGTAATTGATATCAATATATTGATACGGTAATTGAATTATACGAATAATGAAATAAAAGAAGAGATTTAAGATAATTTATATAAATCTGTGTGCGAATCTGTAAATTCATATCTCTGACAACTGATGTTTATTATATTCTCCTGCAAAATTCGCTTTGATGATTTAAGACGGCGCGTTTGCATCGATTTTACAGAAATAAATAATCAAGCCAGGAGCAAAAAAAATCTTTCTATTTTCAAAATAAAAGTGCACACATTTGCATATTTGGTACTGCATAACATTCGAACGACGAGAGTGGCAAATTTGTCACAAATGTATATTTATAGTAAGTTATGTACACGCATAAATAATGATGTGTTTACTTCCCACGGGAGAGAAATGAAGATCGCATCGAATCGAACGTTTACGAATTCGGACGTGTGCAGCCGGTTTTCGTCCCACACGAACCGACACGCGTATGCGCACGCGTGACAGCACGCGTGCACGCACGATGTGCGTTTACGCGAGGAAGTCGGAGGATTTATTTTCGTCGCGGACGCGTCTCTTCCCCCCTTCCCCAAACGCATCACCCACTCGCTCTCGCCGAACCACCGCGCAGCCACTCTAAAGGCCACACACCGGTATCTTTATACGGTCGTTTACTCTCCGGGACAACGGTAAAACGGTAGGGACGCTGCCTAAAAGTCAATGAAAACCACTTCCGCGTCTTGGCATCTTATACGCCCCGCATGCGATGCGTCATCTGATCGTAGACGACACACATACCTCTGAATCGAACAATCGAAATAATAAAGAAGCCAATCTTTTAAGGATAAAATATCAAAAAAGTTATATTGATATGAATTATAAACGCATGAAAAATATGTAAATTTTTATACAAGTATTTATATAAACTATACTTTTCATTAGATTTTAATGATCCTAAAATTTTCCCATTACACAGTATATTTATTTTATCTATGTTGTAACGCATTTTTTTGATACATATATTTAATTTGTACGGGCGTTAGATCGATGCACCGAGAGTATGCGAAAAAGTAGTCCTTAATTAAACTTAATTAAGGAGATTATAATTATAGTTGGCTGCTACGGAACCGGGATAATCAGTATGGAAACATTCCAAAGATATGCATATTGCTCGCGGCATAAAAGGGTTAACGAGAGTGTTCTCATGAGTGGATTATGCCATTCGCTTAGTTAACGCCGCATAAATCTAGCAAATGACTGGTATGGCACTCTGTGAATTAATGAGGGTACGAGCATTCGTCGTGTCATCACTGTGAAACTTCGATTCGCATACATAGGGAAACGCGTAAAACAGAAAATTGAAAGGATTCAATGCAAAAGTGCGACAAAATTCACAATAAAAGCGCATTTCAGTTTTGATAAATCTATCTCAGTCTTGCTCTCAATCCTTTATATATGTATACGAAAGAGAGATGACTGTGTGTGTATTGCTAGAGTTTAAAAAAATAAACCATTTTAAAAGTATTAATCGAATAAATATTATATATATCTCTGATATGCATTGACTGCATTTTTAAGAAACATCATGCATATCGAGTAATCGGTTCGATTGGCGAGAGTGTTTTGCGAGCAGGACAGTGTGATATTAATAACCGGCCGAGAAAGAAACCCGACGATTCCATATGGTCAACCTAAATTCTATAAAAGCTGTGGGTGTAACTAACATAACCGAGATAAATTACATAGAAGCGGCGAAGAGATTAGGTCCGATTAGTATAATTGTGTGTGTGACTCTCGTGATACTCTAACTTTTAAAAAGATACATATGCCAGAAAAAAATTTAATTTATGGAAGCTTGGAAAATTTTTATCTCCGTCTTTTAATAAGCTTTGTAATTATATAGTTATTTATGTATATTAACATTATTTTGTAATATTTCACGAATATTACAAGCGGACGAATACGCAATTCAAACTCAATCTCAATCTCAATTGTCAATCGTATCTTATCGATCGCGTAAAAATGAATCTTGAATGCAGTTTCCTCTTGCAGAAAACTGTGAAATTGGAGATACTTAACTGGAATCATAATGACATTGTCCACGCTGGCATGAATAACGCGAATCGCTTTGTTCTACGATCGAGAAATTCGTGTTTGCATTCTCGATCTGATCGAGATATTCAAAAATACGCCCCGTAAACCATCACGATTCAATCGTCGACAACGCGCAGTCGATGTCCTCTCCCCGTCGAAAGACCGCGATCTCTCAGCTCCTCTCATTAAATCACAAATGAATGACATTAGCGGTGCTATAATATCGTGCCGCTATTACCGTGACGGGTATTACGTGTCACGAGGCGCGCGCGCTCGTATTCTCTCTCTCTCTCTCGTTCTCTATCTTCCTCACTCTATCTACCTTCCTCCCTTTCACTTCCTCTTTAGACTCGCCACTCTCTCTTTCCATCTCCCTCCTCCTTCTCCTCCTCTCTGGAAACTCTCTTACTGTTGCATGCAAGGAATCAGGTCACTGCGCTGCAAGAAAGCAAAAGCCGCGGCTACGCGAGAGAGCGCGGATTAGTATTATCGAATATACCTATATCCTCCGGAAAGGGACGATGACTAAGGCGCCGTTTCGACAGAACTTTCGCGCACGCACACGAGTCGCGAGCCGCGTTACACTCGGCATCTCATGCGTGAAAACTTTATCAGTCATCACGCCGTGCGTGAAATACGAGTTTGTAATTATCCATTTTTTTTTTCATTTCCCTTTCGTCGATCGATCGCTTCGGAAATGTATATAGGTCTTCGGAAAAAAAAAAAAAAACTAGATACTTTGTAGCAAAAAAGAAAAATTATTTTACTTCCCATTAATCCAACTTAATTTTTATGTCAGTTACCATTATTTTTGTCATAATGACTTAATTAAATTATATATGTTACTACGTTATTGTACACGCCAGTTATGAAATTTGCAATACTTTGCAAAAGAAGTTAATAATTTAATAAATTTTTAATCGCGAATATGATTAAACTGGAAGAGGAGAAGAGAGAGAGAGAGAGCGAGAGAGAGAGGTGACTGACTCACGCGATCAGCTGATGCGTTCTGTGTATAGGAAGCGAGAGAGCAAAGAGAAGGATCGTTCGCGCAGGTCATGGTTCAATTATTGTATGACGCGCTACTCACATACGGTGCCGCATCTGCATACACACGGTCATCCGAAATGCTAATGGCATTCTTTGCGAATCTTTCTCTCGCACTGTATATTCCGTGTTAATCTGCACGCGCTTTTCTCATATGCGTTTCGCAATACGCTGGAGCCTGCATCCATTTGTCATTCGCGAGCGTCTCAACGATTACAATGATATCTTGTAACATCGTTGCAATTAGCAACCGATTTGATTGCGGAATAATTCAAATATACAGGCTAATTTAAACGCGGGAAATACTTTCTTATTAAAAAGAATTAATTTCGTAGACAGTCGCGCAGGATTTACGGCGATACGTCGGTTTAACTAGAAAGTGAAAACAGATGTTTGTATATCATGTTAATTGAACACGCAAAGCTAGAATATCACTTTCATAATTAACCCTTACACTCTAACCGGCAACTACACTGCATAAATAGTCGAAAGATTTCCATCTTTCCGTATCTAAACAGTTAATTAAGGCATTAGCCATCTTGAGCCAGCATGGTAAACAAGTTTATATATACTTTTGATATATACTTCTGATTAATCTTAAAAATATTTATATAACATATAATATATAACTAATAAATTAGGAAACACATTTTAATATAAATAAAAACACGTAATGATTTTTAACAACAAATGTTAAACATTGAGCGAGTGTTTATTCGCACATCGATCATTCGGATCCTTTTGTTGATCGGAAAATACGACCCTTTGGCCTTTCATAAAGACTTTCACCGCTTGGCTACCTTATCTCCAAGTAACACGTCTTTAGTTATAAAACTAATCATTATCTCGCACGGATCTGACGAGACGCGAACGCATGCACGCGCACAAAACGCGATATAAATTACAGGTGACTGTGTCAAGAAGAAGAAGAAGAACCAACGTATTTTCGCTACGGGATACTGTGAAATCATGAGATGGGGTCAG